TATAAAATAATGCCATTTGCAGCAACATAGATGGACCTGAAGATTATCATTCTAAGTGAAGTAAGACAGGAAAAGAAAGAAAATACCATATGATATCACTCATATGTGGAATCTAAAAAAAAAAAAAAAAGGACACTGGTGTACTCATCTACAAAACAGAAACATACTCACAGACATAGTAAACCATCCTATGGTTACCAGAGAAAGAGAGTAGGAAGGGACAAATTTGGGAGCTTGAGATTTACAAATATTAGCCACTAAATATAAAAATAGATTAACAAAAAAAGTTTTTTCTATATAGCACAGAAAACTATATTCAATATCTTGTAATAACATTTAATGAAAATGAATATGTGTATGCACACGCATGGCTGGGACATTACACTGTACAGAAGAAATTGACCCACTCATTGTAACTGACTGTAATTAAATTTTTAAAAATTTAAGAAATAGGACAAAAAATCAGTGAGCTAGAAGAAAAACTGAGACACCTCTGGGACAATATAAAGCACACAACATTCACATTGCAGGGATCCCCGAAGGAGAAGAGACAGAGAAAAGGCCCAGGAAAATATCTGAAGAGATGATAGCTGAATATTTCCCTAATGTGGGTAAGGAAACAGTCACCCATCCCGGAAGTGCAGCGAGTGCCACCCAGGATTACCCCAAAGAGGAGCCCACCAAGACATATTATCCTTAAAATTTCAAAAATTAAAGATAAAGAGAGAATATCAAAAGTGTCAAGGGAAAAGCAACAAATAACATACAAGGGAACTCCATAAGGTTATCAGCTGCTTTTTCAACAGAAACCCTGCAGGCCAGAAGGGAGTGGCATGATATATTTAAAGTGATGAAAGAAAAACCTACAGCTAAGAACATTATATCCAGCAAGGCTCTTGTTCAGATTTTTTGGAGAAATCAAAAGCTTTGCAGACAAGCAAAAGATCAACGAATTTAGCACCACCAAACCAGCTTTACAACAAATGCTAAAGGAACTTCTCTAAGCCGAGAAGGAAAGGCCACAACTAGAAACAAACAAACAAACAAGCTCACTGGTAAAGACAAATTTCAAATACATTCTCAAACCTGTCACATCTTGCCTCCCAGAGGTATTCATTCAGCAATACCGCATGTCTTCTTGGCCAAGTGCTGGGCTGGAGGCCTGTTAATACACTGGAAACCAAGGCATAGACTCTGTTCCCAGGTGGCTGAGCCTCAGTTATAATAAAATACAGAGAAAGCTGTTGTAGGCAGAGTACCAGATAATTAAAATTATGACCTATCCCCTTCTCACAATTCTTAAAATCATTATTCATTTTTCTTACCCTGATAGTCCTTCAGGATACACAGGATCTTAGCAAAGTTCCCCAGGGCAAAGCAGACTTAGTGCTGGGCAAGGGAGACATTGTGGACCCCACCCTGGCTGTGCTGAATAGGAGAATTTCCCTTTGACTCCCACTGAGACCTACTGCCCACATTCCACTGTCTCCTAGGTATTCAGGGATAACCCCACTGTCTTGTGAGCACGTCAATTGCTACCCAAAGATCTACATTGCACATACAGAAGGCAACGTGTTTTAAAATTTTTCTGCTACTTTACATTGATTGTCAAAGTATTTTACTTAAATTCAGATGTTTACAGATGGTTGAGGGAAGAGAGGAAGAAAGACAAGTGGACATAGATGGGGTTGGACACAGAATTTCACATGTCTAGGTGTCACAAGAGACAACTTCCACTCAGTGGCTCACCTTATATTTGTGACTTAGTAGACTTACTTTAGCTTCCACATGAGGTTGAAGAAGAAAAACATATGTCTCTCTCTCTATATATATAGACATATGCTTTTATAAATATATATAGGTATATATACATTTATACATCATATATATATACCCTAAAGAAATTCTTAGTTTATGAAACATGTTCTGATGAAGGTTAAATTAGAAAAGACCACTTTTGCAGAGTGGAGTGTTTCTCATAAGCAGTTACACAGCGCCCTCTGGTGGCCTTGTGAGAAATGGCATGAGTGCTGCTTGGCTCCATGGATTTGTCAGACAACATTCACACTGAGACAGTATCAGTCTTGCTGTTAGAAGAAACCAAATTCTGTAAGTCAAAGTTTTGGTGGTCCCTTGTAGTGGAAGTCCTTGTCTGGACCATGACATAACAGGGCACTTCCTAAGTACAATGTCTCAGGGAGTGTTGGTGGAGTACCTGAGTCAGGCCCTGGGTCCAGAGCAGAGAACAGAGAGGAGGTCACTGCCTCACAGGACCGGAAGGGAGAGGCTGGGAACATGCTGGGGTCACTTGTCCACAACCCAGCTCTGTGTGTCTGATACATAGAAAGTAGTCTATCCAACAAAGGACATTTATGACATTTTGATGTTTATATTAACACTAAAACATAAATAAAAAGTAGAAATCTATCACACAACATATTTATCTAATTTCACCTAAGTTTCTGTAGAACTTGAAAAAATGAGACCACCCTATATTACCACTTTTTCAGATAAGTTATTATCACATCCATTTAAAACTTTAGAAAACATGAATTTAATTGTTGCATAATATTCCTATAATCCTTTTAATTAAAGGACCTGTTTCTATTGTTCCTGCTCCCAGCTTCCTCCACAACTATGTATTGTTCTTCTTTGAAATTGGAGCCAAATTCTACCCTACACAGGCAGGTTCTAAATCTAGGATCACTCCCTGAACTTCCTGATCATGGTCTCTATCCTTTTCTCCTAGGATGGCAAGCACTTCACACCATGTCTTCTGTCCTTCTGTGGATTCAGAGGTTTGCTCAGATCAGAATTCTCCTCAATCAGTTCCCAACCTGCTCTCTGCACGGTGCTTGACCTGTACTAAATTCTCAGTCAAGACCTGGAAACAGTAAATCTAAGTGAGTTTGCATTATTGCTGATGTCACCCTAAACCTAGATTTAAATCCTGGAAAATAATCAGTGTTATCTTGAAGCAAAAGGACTGGTTCATTATTTGCAAGGTTTGTAAACCAGGTACACATCACCTTGGCCTCTAACTCAAAGTGTGTTCCTGGGTGGTTGAGGAGTTGAAGGATTTTTAAAAGCAAACCCCACAGAATATATTGGTGGGAGACTTGCAAGGGGATTGGAAGGCCTTTGCAGACTGACTACAGGTTCTTGTAGATGGACCCCAAGTTTTCCATGATTGACTGACATCTACTTAAAGGCTTTACCAAGTGGGACCCTTAGAGTTTTGTTTTGTGGCTTTCTAAGAACTCTGGAGTATTTTACTAAACCCCAGGTCTGTCACGAGCTACACAGTGTCTCATGTTTCCCACACTTCCAACTGGCCAAGGGATGTTTGGGATTCTGCACTGAAGGCATTTTCTGGAGGCGAATTTGGCTTTGCATTCAGACTTTGATGTGATGATTTTTGGCCAAGTCCTACAAATTGACACAAAGCCTGTGCTCCTACTCCTAACCATGAAGTTGGAGCTTCAGCCCAGGCAGCTCTTCCTTCTGGTCTTCTGATCTCTGTTTCATCTGCTCCCAGTTAAATCAGGGGCTTCTGTCTTTCCTCTTCTAGGGAGAACTTGGAACTTCTTCCCTCTGAGGACCCATGTTCTCTGCATCAGGGGCTCCATATCTGTGCAGAGAAGAGAGAGGCTGCTGATCATGAACACACTCAGTTACCTCAGACATTGGGATCACTCTGTCCTTACTTTGATTAGACATGATGGCCACTCCTTTTTCCCCATTTGTGGCTTTGGGCCAAAGGTAGAGCTCCTTCCCCTGCAGAAGCTGAAAGGCAAAGATGCCACTCCTGGAAGCCGGAGCAGGGGTGGTACAGAGGGTCCCTGCGGGGGCAGCCTGAGGGGTGGCAGGGCCTATGAGTAGCTCCCAGGGGCCCTGGCATGAGGCTCTAAACTTCCTGCCAATTCTCATGCACCTGATATATTTTCTTAAGGCTCTTTCTACTCATATGAGCTCACCTGGGTGCCACTAATGTTTTGAAATTCCCTCTGGTGGATTACACCTAGGACACTGCTTTTAAGTCGGTGGCCTCCCTTATTTTTAATTAAAAAAAATTTTATTTGATGCAAAAAACAATGATAATCACTATTCTTATATATTATACAGACTGACACAGCAGGCCACAAGTAATAAATTATCTGTGATAAGAATAATCAGGACGTGTATATTCATAGACACATAAGGAACACTGGGAGTCCCAGCACTGCAGGTGAGGGGAGTCGGGACAGTCTGGCTAATACTGACAGCAGTGCCCTTTGCTCCGGCTCTGGAGCTGTCTCAGACAGGAGAGGTGTAGCTGGCTCTCGGTCTCCAGATGTTTCCACAGTGGGTTCCGGAGCTGGTGCTGTACTTCCAAGAAGGGAAACTGTCATCAGTCTGACTGCTTTTCCACATGTGTCCCAAAGACAGGAAAGTCCTCACTGACAGTCAGAGATGTCTCAGTCCCAAATCCCAAACCCAGGGGGTGTTCTCAGACTGCAGTCCAGGGGAACAGTGATCTAAGCCTCCTATTGCTCCTGGCCCTGTCCCAGCCTTGGGAGGCTCTGCTCTATCTGGTCCAGGGCTTTCCCCTTCCCACTCACCCCATCACACAACCTGCATCCTCTTCACAATCACCTGCTGCCTCTAGGCTCCAGGTGCTCCAGCTGTACCAGGAGAAGCTGGGCCTGGTGCCCCAGGTCTGGGCTAAGCATGCTGAGCTCTATGTAAGCCAGTAGCATCTTCAGGAAGGGGAGTCCTGGGGGCTGGTGGAAATCCTCTGGGCACTGGTGCAGCCAGGTGCCCAGGATGGAGGATTTGGCCGGTGGGTAGCCATGGGGGCAGCAAAGTCAGAGGCCTGGCCTTGCCTTCCACACTGCACTCCCAGGGATATGAGCATTTTTGCCATTGGCTCCTCCTATCCAGAGGCCGGTTCTACTCAATGTCCCGTCTAACATGGCAGTCTTGCCAGAGGCAGGTCTGAGCATAGAGGAGAGGTTTCTACAAGACTTTGGTAGTGACAGCCCTTTATCAGTGGTGTGACAACCTCCCCACATCTTCAGGGATGCCTGACACACTGATCTGTCCCTCTCTGTGCCCCTCCCCATTGGATGTCTCTTCCATGAGGACAGGCAGGCTGTCTCCTCTGGGCACTACTCTCTTGGGAAGACAGGAGCTGCTCTATGAGCACCTGACCCAGGAGGGAAAAAGCAGGCTGTGTCTCCCACTGAGAGTTCCCATGGGCCTCCTCACAACTCAGATTTCAGCTTGTGCACCTACCTGCTGTCTAACCCTTCAGGGCCCCTGCCTGGGTCTCCTCCTGCCCCTGCCACTCACCTCCCATACGGCAGGCTGAGCCATCCCCTCAGACTCACTGGGTCCCCTGAGCACCAGCTGAGTCCCCACCATTGAGGCTCCACCAGGCAGAGAGCAGGCTGCTCTCCACCTCTTGTGTGCTGGGTCCCAGGGAGGGGATGGAGGCAGGGCTGAGACAGAGAGGGAATGGCTGTGCATTCTCTGAGGGGCTGACTCTGTCCTCTGACATCCTGAATGCTCCTCACAGCACCAAAGCCTTGTCCATGGCCCTCTGGTCCTCCTTTCTTCTTTGCCAGGCTAAGCCCTAAGATTTCTGCTCTCAAGCCAGAATCATAAGTTGTATGGGGCCATGGTTTTGCCTGCTCCTTCCCATTGACTAAGCCCCAGCTCCATGCTGTTTTTGGAGCAGGAAACTCACTGTTCCAGCTGTTCCAGTGTCCACTGTACTCATCACAGTAAGGGAGGGCACATCGCTACGTAGAGGAGAGCAGGATGCCATCACATGGACTGTACTAAGAACACTACCTGGATGTGATGTCTAGTGTGACAGTGACTCCCGGCAGAATGGAAGCCCTGAATGCAGACCCGGTGTCTTCTTGATGCATTAAATGATGGTTTTTCCTAGAAAATCACCTGTCCCTAGTGGCCCTTCCTATATATTTGAAAAATGAGCCCAGCCAGCCCCATCACACAGGTCTGAGTGGATCTGGGGCCACACTGCTCCCCCCCAAGGA